AAGACTATTACTGCACTACTGGGGTGCTGCCATATTTGTCGAGGTGTGTTCTGGTGTCACTCATGTGGTTTGTAGATAGAAGGGGGGAAGGAAAGAAAAAGAGAGGAGGAATGGAGCAACCTTGTGCCAGCCTCCTAACCCTTCCCATGTTTACATTTTAATGCTGGATTTATTATTCAGGAACAATATTTCCATCCATATATCCCCCTTGCAGATTCATCAAGCTACGTCTGTAAGCTCTTGAAAGACAAATAAAAAGCTGAACTAATTGCTGTGGATCCCCCCTGGATATATCAGCCTCATAGAGGAGCGTGACAGCGAGAAATCAAGCCGTAGCGCCGAGCGGAAAGCCTCCATGAATCACGTTTGTATCCATACTCGCACGCAGAGCAGCAGTGGTGTTGTTGGCTGAGAAATAATCATTGGGGAGGCAGTCCAAATTAATACTTCAGCCGAGGCCGCCTCGTTCTCCGTCATTAGGGCACATTACAGGGCCACAATATACATCATTAAACCAGGCATAAACAATTCATTAAAAGGCCGTTAAGAAGACAAGCTAATGTCACTTCTCTCTGTGGTATTAATAGACTGTAAAATGGCAGAGGGTTAAGGCAAAAAGGATCATTCCACCGCTGCTATCGAGTCAGTCATCCTGACTAATGGCTTAGCCAGTTGTTGTGTATTGAGTAGGCGACCCTACTTTTCTCCCAATCACACTTATACGACTCTACTTAAGCCTCAGTGTGAAACAGTAACACAATTTTCATCTGTTTTATCAGGGATGGTACTGCTCACTGAAGAGTAAGGGGTAATGGAATATTAGCAAGTTAATTCCAGCAATGTAGCCACTTTACATTGTACTGTCACATGTTTTATAACACTGGTTTCCAACCTGGGGTCGCCAGAAAAAAAATAGCTTTCTTACCTGTATTTTGTCAGTGTTTGGCTTGTCAGTTCTGGGCTACTGTAGAAACATAGTGGTTCCACATGGCACCCTAGAAATACCTGAGAACTGACTATTTACACCATAAGGGTAGCTTTGATTTTTGGGCCAATTCTGTGTCCACTGGGAAACAAGCTTCCATTGACAATCTCTGAGATTTGAATAGCTTGCTTTGAGATTGCAATTGCAGAGCCTTTTGGGTTTATTAGTGGGGGATGGACAAACAAATGCATACACATATCCTTCCCAACTAAAGCCTTGGACGCACTACAAGACTTTGAGATCCCTGTTCACACTGCGCAACTTTCAGTCTTGAAGGGGGTCACACGCTACAAGATCTTTCACAACCAGTCTGTCTGCTCTACAAACTATGTTTTATCAGGAGGAATTAAGAACACCATTAATAACAAGCACATCAGGTTTAATTGGGAAAGTAGTTTAAAAACAGTTACAAAGGGCAACCATAAGTGAAATAAGCTTATAATTAGCTTGATCAGCCAGCATCAGTAATCAGTACACATTATTAAAGCATTTGTCAAACTTATAACTACCAGCAGACAACATTATCATACATTAATAGTTACCTTTGTAGTAGTGTTTGTGTAGTGGTGACAAAACATAAAAAAATATACATATAAATATCCCTAAACCGAACTCCCTTTAAAAGATATAACATTTTAACAATTCATTTCTCACCAGTCAAAATGTTAATTATTGATATCAATTAATTTCATCCTAGTATTCATTGCAAAGGGCCACAAGTTGGAATTGAAAGCAGCCCTGCACCCCATCCACAATGGTGGACAATTAGTTCTACATATCTAAAATTTACCTCCCAAGTAAAAACTAAATTATTGATACGCTGGCTTGGAAAAATATCTGAAATACAATTGTAACTAGTGAAAATTAAATTTGTACTAGTAACAATTATATTTGAGATATCTACAATAACTCGTCAAAACTTATTTTAGATATCAAAAAAGGAATTTCCACTTGTTAAAATGTCATTATAGATCTCTTTAATGATGTACGAATCCAAAAGAATATGCTAATTGGCAACGCATCCGAAATGTAGTTGTTGGTATTGGAAATGGGTCTAGTCACAGTCCTTTTTTAACATTTAACACATGTTAAATTCTATTGTAGTTATCTCTATTCATTATTGTAACTGGTGAAAAAGGATATCCTTATATCTATAATTAAATTAAAGATATCTGTAAATCAGTTTTGACTGAAATGTATTTTCTACCTGTGAAAATATGTCTTATAATAATTCAAAATGGTTTTACAGACATGACAGACTATTGACATACATTTTGTCAAAGCCAAAGTTACGTACGTTCAGTACATATGTTACGCTCGTTTAAATCTAGAAGTCAATGATCCTAAGAGCTGGTATTCTTCCTCTTCTTGAGGTTGGTCGATTCAATCATATTCTGGAGGAAACCAGATTGCGGGAGCAGTGGGATTTGGGTGAAGTGGCAAGTGACTCATTTTCTTTTGTACTGCATAAATTATGATTATTTAAGAGAATCAATGCTCCTTGAAATCATGCAACAAAACCCTGAAATATTCTGATGTCCTGATGAACACAAATTGGAATGCCTTTTTAATTTTGATGTATTGTAAGTTTGCCAACAATGTCTCAAAGGCCTGGAAAAGGCATAATTGCACGCATGACACGATAATGAAAACTTAATTCATTCATTCCTACAAAAAGATGAAGGGTTAGTCCTGAATCCTGAGCAGAACAGTCAGGTAACTTAGACAGACTGAGTGTGTTTCAGTACTTAACGGACGGCTCAGCAGTCTGGAATAGATAACCACATAAAGAAATCATTGGCTTTGGCCTCATTTAATATCAACATTCGACACAGTAACATTACACATGTATAACAGAAACTTTCAAAATCCACTGCTCTTTAATCCACACCTCACGCTTCCTTTTTCAGTGACTGCAGACTATTTCTGTCTTAGGTAATACATGTTTCTGTAATAAAGCCAAAAAAAATTAATAGTTTGAAGGTGCCAACCATCTGGCCACAGTAACTGAATGCGCAGCTGTTGCTATATTTAAGATATTATGAATGCAGTCGATTTGAACAGTTTTGGCTTAGCCCTTTAAATTCAAACCCAATCAGACATCATTCAATAATGTTTCAGCAATCTAGCAATAAAAACACAAAACAAAAAAACCCCAACAGATTAATTAAGTTTGAAAGAGATGCATGTGCAGCCATTGTCACAGCACATCTGCCCCTCCCCTATTGTTACACTACTGTCACCATTGAAAAAATAACAAAAACAATAAAAGTTCTAAATGAAAGCATTTAGAGCGACTACAAGAAATCTGGAAGCAGCCACTAGAAAGCTGTACCTGAAAGAGAGATTGCAGAACATGGGTTTGAGTGAGGCAGGGATAAAGAGTGGGGTCAAGCTGCCTGAAGAAAAATCAGGTACCAGGGAGGTCCCGCCCATCTCCAATGTTAAGAAAAGAGACAAATAGGGTCGCCCATCTCACCCACCCATCTCCCAGAAGCTGAAGCCCAAGATGAAATTAGCTCACACAGTTCTCCCACCCATCTCCATCAAGTCAGCACATTACACTAAAGTCTTCATGAGTGAAACAAGTCATGACTAAGACTCAATTTCTTCAGAAAGAAGAAGAAATACTGGGGGGAAATTTTCCCTGTGATGATGTGCTCTTTGGCAGGCTTTCTTCCATTCTTTCAGACCACAGTTGTACCAGTTAAAAAAAAAAAGTGACAGTGACATCTGATCGCCAACTTGCTGCACAGGGTGTCATGGGTGCTTCATTGTTTCACACTGTGGCCTCACACAAGGTCCTGGGTCCAGCCCAGTTCTTTGTGTGTGGAGTTTCACGTCCTCCCCATGTCTGCGTGGGTTTCCACCGAGTATGCATCAATTTGAATATCGAAATTGCCCACACAAAAATGACGTGACTTAAGGCAAACACAAAGTTGCACATTAGGCTCATGCTACACACACATAATAACAAAACAGATAATTAAATTTAGATGAAAAGAATAATATATATATATATATATATTGCATTGGTAGGCTATACACAATCCCTTAGCTATAAAACAAAATATATATTGCTACATACAGTTGCAATCAGAAATATTCAACCCCCTCACCCCCCAAAGGCTTAATTGTGTTTCAACTCCACTTTAGGCCATAAAAAGACAGCAAAATTATATAGGGGTTAAATAATTGTGACATGGCTATCTTAACAAAATATACTCTTACACTCTTATGCATTTTCTGTGTGGATTTTATGTATAACTCAACTCATAAAGAAGTCATCCGAAGCAGAATCTTGCTCTTTGAAAAAACTTTAATTGATAAATCCTTAAAATCTTTGGGGGGTTGAATATTTCTGATTGCAACTACATATGTAAAGTACGCCTATAAATCTTTGGATACTATTTGGAGACTGGAAAAAACAGTCATTATTCTCTGTCTTCTTGTGTATTCTTTCATTTGGCAGAGACATTTCTTCATCAACAGTCAGCTATCGTAGCTAACATCAGCTGGGCTAACACATGTCCGAACCAGACCAAACTAGCGTTGGTGATTGTGGTTGTTGTTACAAACTGTGTTCACAGAGCCTTCACTTTCTGCTAATACTAAACAATTAGGCAGGAAAAAGAAAACACTGAATTTGTCAGAAAACAAAATTATTATACATTTTAAAAATACATAAAGACTAACAGTTGTATAAAACGTTCCTAAAAATATCAGGAAAACTAATCTTTGTTGCAATATTCACAGGAAGCGACCTGCTCAAAATTGATTCAAATTGCTGGTTTTACACAAACTTCCTGCAGCTAACTGCACATTCTATCTGTTGTTTTGCACTGTAATAAATGTCCAAAAAATATGTCACTTAGTCCACTCATCAGTTTAGTCGATGATAGAAAAGGGGTCCCATTAAGGAAAAAGCTTGGGGACCACTGTCTCATGATATCCATTGTCCTTATGGGAGTAGAGGGCTGTAAGAATTTAAAAGGAGCCACACAGACACAGAGCCTGCTGTATCAGCCATCAGTTTATTTAAAATCTGGTGAAAGTGAAGCACCCAGTTTCATCAGGACAGAGGCACAGTCTTTTTACACAACAGTGGCTTTCACACTGCAGCACAGGGAGCATTGCTGCATGTCCTACCAATGGCACAAAGGTTGATCACATACATCCAGAGTGGCAGAAGAGAGAATGCATATTCATTACAGAGAAGCAGAGCCAACCCCGTCACTCAACATAAATACTGGATGGTGTTGAACCAACCTGCTTCAGAGTGGTGTTCATTCTTAAATAGTCTGCCTTAACAAATAAATGCTGATAGTTTCTGTTGACACTATACATGGTCAGTGTTTTCTTTGTACAAGTAATTCTCTCCAAATATATATAAAATAATTACTGCATGGATTTGGATGGGCCAGGTAAATGTGATGTATGCACTTCTTGGCTTTCAGTCAACCAGCTAGAATAAGACTGCTTCCAGATCCAACTACCTTATTTCCACTCACTCAGGTAATAATTGCATCATCAGGATGGTAGGGCTGGTGTGTCACACTGTTACCACACCCATTTTGTTTAAAACCTAAGATATAAACTGAAGATATTTCAACATAAATGCAATTTTAACAGGACAGTACAGCATCTAGGGGTTTTACATCAAAACTATGATTAGTAGAGGGTTGATATCTATTTAAAGTCTTGACATCCAGTACAATGATTGATCTGCGTGTTTAGCCTAGCTTAGCACAAAGACTGGAAACAGGGAAGCTGCTAGCATCAAGGCTAGAAAAACAGATTCATGAGCTCAATTCCCCCAAACTGCCTGGTGAGAAAAACTAAATTGCCCAACATTGATTTAACTTAAAGAAAGACATCCAAAGATGATAATGTTAATATTCGAATCCACAGTTTAAACCCTACTATGTGTAATTTGACTGTATTTGTAGAACATAAAGTCATTCTCAGTGTTTTTTCTGGGGATTTGGGGATTTTAAAAACAGAGGACATGACTTCAATGTCCTCAATGGTAGGTACAGCACTAGCTCGTAACGCACCACCGTAAGTGAAAACAAATATGCAAAAGCTTCAAAACTAACTTATTTACATCTAAATAGTTACAGGAGCAAGCTAGTCACTAATACAGTGTTGTTCAAAGTGGAGTTCTGTCCACATTCTGCCTAAAAGAAGAGGACTCCAGCAATAACACACGCAGTCACTGTCACAGCCCATCAGCTAGAAAGCAATATGTTGTTTTTACATTTTATACCAGCAAGTGTTCAATAAATAAGATACAACATGTAAATAAGAAGCATAATTTTTCTACTGTTCAAGGAGCTAGCTAACAATTTCCCCCGCTTCTAGTTTTTGTGCAAAGCTAGGCTAGACACATACTGAATGCAATGGGATGAAATTGATATAATTCCACTCATTTGACTCTGGGTAACAAAAACAAAACCACAGTATTTCCCCAAATGTGTATTACTGTTTACGTATATAAAGGATAATTAGTTTAAATAACATTTGTACACAGGGAAATATAAATAAATATTACTTTGCATATTATTTACCATGGCTGATACACAGTATATGGCATATAAATATAGTTGTGGGATTAAAGACCAGTTGTCTGCGTATTCCTTTGGTTGTAGGGCGTAAAAGCAAAGCACTTCACTACAATCTATACCACATGGACATCACACCACATTCAAACAGGAGTATAAGGCACAAATATTGACTAGTAGCATGTGCTTAACAGAAAACTTCAAGTTTTTTTTTTTTTTTTCAAGAAAAGAAATGCTTTTCAAGCACTTCGGCCACATTGCAACTGTGGCTTCATATATTACAAAAATTAAATAATCGAGGAACAGCAATATATTTTTCACAATCATACAATTACTGCAACATTCCACACCCAATAAGCAATATGTTTTTTTCTCTGTCTCAGTTACATCAGTGCTGAGTGTCACCTGTGTGTGTTTGTTGTTTAAGAGCAACACTGACAGCAGGTAACCTCAAAAAGCTGACTTAGTCTGTTGTTATTGTCTGTAAAGATGTGCTGGCTCTGGAGCAAAATATGTAAAAACAAAATCAGAATGAAATATTAAAACCCCTGAGTTACAGGACAAATACTGAGGTCACATAGAGTATTTACACTGTGTCATTTTAACGTACAGTACTCAGTCTGTAGGTAAGTACTATGTAGGTGGCTGTAGTCAAACATCAGTAACAGAGAGAGTAAATGACAACTGGGAAACATGCAACATCATGAAAGCAATATGGAACCAGTGACCTTCCAACTTTGTCATTTAGCTTTGGAGACAAAAGTCACTCATTATTTCCTTAAAATTACACTAACAAACAATTACAAACAAGAAGAATGACCTGTATGACCAAAGCATTCACAATTATCTGTTCATCTAATTGGCATTAATATTGGCCTGCTGACTTAAAAATGTTTGCTTTACTTGGCCACAATAAATTGTTGAAAAATCTAAACCGAAAACAACAACTATAAAACACCCTGTTTCATTTAGAGGGCAGATTTAAACAGAAATTGACCTGATCAGGCACGTTTTAGATCTGCTGACATTCTACCGATCTAATCCAACAAAAGTCTCCACTAAAGTCGGTGTTGTATCATATGTTCGATTAAGAAGGCACCTATCATATCCATCTGTAGGGTGAAACAGGAGCACAGACTTCTTCATATTATGCTATTGAAACATTTTAAATGGATTTGTTGCGTTCGACCTGTCTGGTTAACAATGACAATGAGACCTAAAATGATCAGTCGACTGAAAGAAAATGATTTTCAAACTTGGGATTAATGTTTTTGTCATTTTTTCCCAAGCAAATTACCCAAGAGTCACTGGTTTCAGGTTCTCCAAAGTGAGGATTTCCAGCATTTCTTGGTTTTATACAGTAAATTGTATATCTCTGGATTTTGGGATGTCTGCGTGTTGTTGATTTTATACCTTGGGTGTTTTTTCGCATGTGCAAATTAAAAACAAATGTTGCCCCAGTAAGCTTTTTCGCAAATTCTCACTTTTTTTTTTTGGATGAAAACATGTTGTCAGTGATTCTCTGGTGCAAGGACAGTTGATGGTGTGTTTCTTTTCAACATGAGCTCACCATGTGTGATTTTGCGCTCGGCTTGCAGCAACACAAATGAGCTTGTGATACAAGGTTTGACTGGACATTATATGAAATAAGGCTGTGTTCATTTCTTTGTTTTCACCTTTAAAGCTCCTATTACCTCCAAACACAACAGCATCAAGTATGATTTTCTAGAAACTGGCTCGATGTTTACAGATGCCCTCAGAATGACCCTCATGCATTACAACAGTCCATGATTGCTGCACATTCTGACAAGGCACTGACCAAGGCCCTGATCTTTAATTATCTTACCAGCTAACGTGAATATGAGACTATCAAATCTTACTGGAGTCTTTTCTCAGTTCTCAGTTTCCAATAAGGGTCTTCACACTTTCTTTGTCCCTTTTTCGTTGTCTTAACAAGATGTTCAAGAGAGAACTGCTCACAAATGTTGCTTTATTTTGTGTTTTGCATCCACTACCAAGGCATATTTCTTAGCCTTGCGTGCTTGGCAATACTTAAGTGGTGATTCATATTCTGGGAAGATGTAGCAGCTTTACTGCAACGACCCTGATTTCAAGTGTCCAAAAAAAAACAAAAAACAGACAACTAAAATGTCTCACGTTCAATAATCCTGTGTCTGTAGTTGTTTGTGTTCAGCCAGTTAATCCAAAAAACCTCATCACCCGGTACAACTGCTTTATTTACTGACCACTAAAAGAAGATCTTGTCTGTGATTGGGGCAGGTCAGCAATCTCCTACAGCATCTGACCTGACTCTTATTCACTTTGGGGCAGTGTCTGCTGGCAAGCACTTCCCTCCTCTTACTTCCTCTGTGACTGTGGATGATGAAATGAGACGACCCCGGGGTCACTGTGTGAAGCTCTTCTTGATGGCCATGTTGGGGAAGAGGCCCGAGAGCTCCTGGACGACCCGCATGTCTATCTGCGAGCAGAAGGAGACGTCCAGGAGGAGAAGCCGTGGACAAGACTGGAGGAGTTTCTTCAGCGAGGCAGCACTCACCAACCGTGTACCTGTCAATTAGACAAGTCACAACAGGGACAAGAAGGCAATGTAAAAGATGTGCTGCAAAAACACAACATGAGCAGAATAAAACAGGAGAAATACAACAATTTATTACATTTCTATGTTTGAAAAGATCTATAAAAATAAACTATCTTTACATTTCTGTATAAATAAAAATCCTGCCAATGTGATTTGCTATGTATGTTTACAACAGGTACATGTTATAGACAAAAACATTAGAGTCCAGACACAAATAACGTACTTTATGGTTATTACTTGATTTATTCTCCAGCATAGAGACCACCCCAACTACAGTAACAGCCTCACAACTGACACATCAGCATAGCCAGCTTCAACACTTGTCATGCTACTGTGCTGCCGAGCCCATCACCTTACGCAACTGGAACTATAGTGTTTGTGCACAGCAGTTACTGCTGTGGGGTGCTGTTGCAACTTTGCCTACTGAGCAATATTTTATTCATATTAATATTAAGCAGTTTATTTGGGTTTTTGTTTGCAGTTAACTTGGGAGTTTTTCAGAAATTCTCAAAGCAAACTTGGGATTTTGGTTGCCACAGACATGTCCAATGTAAAGTGATGATTCAATTATGACCATGCATTATGACCACCCAAATAAAAACTCCCATTTCTCATGGTCAGTGACTGATATGCACGAGTTATGATCATACCAACATGTACCAACAGGCTATAAGTGTGGGTAATAATGTGGGTACCACCTGCAACTGTAAGGCAAAAAATAGGACTCAACGCATTTTCCAAGAACATGTATGCATTAAATTCACTTTTGACCCAAAAATATTTCCTTGTTTCTTTGACAGTCCTTTATAAATTGATAGGATTGGTGGTACAAGAGAACAAGACAACATTGTTGACATGAAGCCATATGTTTGCATACGTGTGTGGCTTTGTTTCTGGCCTCAGAGGCTAGCTGCTCTGGGTCCGTTTACCACATCCCACACTGAATTATGATCTGCTAAATGTCAAGTTCATGTGAAAAAAAAAACACATTAACAGCTACAGCTAAAAAGGTCAAGAACATCATTACCAAACAATGGATAAATGACAAATGTTTGTGAAGGGATATATGTATGAGGTAAGAGCTTACCCAGTATGTCCAGGTGCTGCAGTGAGGGGCAGCTGGTGGCCAGCTCCTCTATGTCTGGGTCGCAGACGGTGCGGTTGGCGGTGAGGAAGAGTTTACGCAAGCGGGGCAGATTGCGGGCGAGGTGCTGGAAGCATCCGGTGCTGCTCTGCAGTGTGGGACACCAGCCCAGGTCCAACTCCTCGAGCATCCTGAGCAACCACAGACCATGCAGGAGAGCACTGGGGTGACTGGGGTTCACTGAAAACAGATATGCTCTGCTTTGGCTCTGTGGTCTACAGCTACGAGACTGAGTAGTTCCTGTTCAGAATGTGCTTATTGTATTAAAGGCTGCAGTCTAAATGAATGGGGCTTAATGATTAATTGTGTTGCCTTTTAAAAACTGAAATAACTCTATAACACAAGGTATTCACTGAGAATATTAACAGCCTTTACTAGTCTCTACATGGTATTTACAATGCATAGTGAGACATCTTACTGCTATACTGCTTCACAGCACAAAGAAGCTGTTTAAGAGCGAACAAAACAAAAAAGATGAAAAACAATTACTTAAATCTTGTTTATTGTCCTCAAGGTACACCAGCACACACTTTACAGCACTAAACACAATGGTATTGCCTACCTGCAGCCAGAGACGAGCTCAGCCAGGCCTCTATCAGTCAGGTTTCTGCAGCGCCACAGGTCTAGTGAGCACAGTGAACGACAGCGAGCAGCCAGCATACTGGCCACAACGTCGTAGTCCTCGATCTGCAGGAGAGACAGGCGGTAGTTATCATCTATTTACGCTCTTTCCAGTGTGTTTCAGGCTTTATGGAGCACCATTGCAGGGTCCACGTCAGCTTTAAAATGGACCCTTCAAATATACAACTTTGCAGCAGCCTCTTCAAATGCTGCAGGTAAATCAGAGGATATGATTTGTAAATTATTATGTCTGTCATAAGCAACATTATTTAGAGGCAGAGATTCTGCAATCTTTGTTTCAGATACCATAAAATGCTCTTTCTTTGTGGCACAGTGTCACAGAATTCAATAATTTGTCTTTAGGGTGTGTCACAGGACTGACAAAAAGATGCTGTAAGAAGGAATAAAGTAAGTTGGTAGCCATTTCGCTCAAATGGTCTTTTGTATTTTGAGCAAACTTTTGAAATGTAGCGATAATAAAAAAGCTGATTAGCTGTATCAGCTGGTTTAAGGGACATAACGGGAATTCCTCAAAAGAGAAGAAAGCACTAACAGGGAACACCTTCACCAGAAAATAAATGAAATAGTCTTTCAAGAAACTGATTTGTGTTTGCGAAGCTGTTATTGTTCTTTGGTGTCAGGTAATGTTGGCCATATTTCATCCTTTCATCCAAAGATGAAAGCAAAGAAATTCAATTTACCAGCCACACAGCCAGTGCAGGCACCTTACCCACAGAAATGACAGCATGCAGAACATTTCTCTGAGTTAGCACTGAATGGATATTAAAACTTTTGGCTGTGGTTGCTGTCATTATGTAGTTCCATTGCCAAGAGTTGCATAGCTTCATTATCAATGATGACACTTATGCCTTAAAAAGGAGGAAATCACAAAAATTTTGAATTTCCTTTCAACCCCTTACTCACTTCCTATATCATGATTTGCATCACAAATCCATCAATTGGATGGGAACTCAGCTAGTGACAAGGCAGGTGGGTGAGTTACTGAGTGAATCCGTCATTCGGAGATCAGGTGAATTTGCAGATTAGACAGTCCGTAAATGAGAAGAATATGTTTGTGGTGATTTTTCTTCCTTTTTGAATTATCTTTTAGAAAGATACTGCATATACTAAAAGGTATTGGATCTGCCCCACCACTATCACCATGATGAACTTAACATTTACTAAAATGCCTCATTTGTTAATTTAATTAATGCTAATGTAAAGAAATGCTTTTACATATATACTTGTACATACATACTTGTCTGTCCATAAATGCCACATACTGTATTCCATGCACCATGATGGACATTCACATTCACTGAACAAAACATCCTTAGTAGAATAGTTTGACATTTTATAGAAATTTTGTTAAGTTAGGTGACAGGATCATAAGGTTACAGCCAGCATTAGCTTAACTTAGCATAAAGACTTTAAACAGATTGGCTCTGTAACAGTAACAAAATCCCCCTACCAGACCCGATAAAGCTCACTAATTACCACACTATATCTTGTTGGTTTGTTTTTCTGTATAAAAACGTCACACTTCAGTTTTTGTACAGATTAAACAAGATATAATTTGGTAATCAATGTGTGAAGCACAGTGTGTTACATTTTACATATACAGTCTGACTGATTGATTGATTGATTGATTAGTGAGCTTTAGAAGTGCTGGTAGGTGGATTTTGTTACCTTCAGACAGAGCCAAGCTAGCTGTTTCTCTGTTCCCAGTTTAATGCTAAGCTAACTAGCTGCTGGCTGTAGCCTTGACAGGTATGAGAGTGCTATCAATCTTCTCTTGAACTCTCCACTAGAAAATGAATAAGCGCATTTCCAAATATTCATTTAAGCATTTGGAAAGCGTAAGATAGAAAATTTGGCTGTTAAGAGCCTATCAGCTTCATTGTTTGTGTAAAGTGAAAAATCCAATGTATGAAGGCTCAGGGGTAATTGTGTCCTAGTTGGTGTCTGTACTGTGTTGTATTATACTATGTGTCTATTAGTTCACTGTTTAGCTGTGTTGTGAAGTGAGGCTGAAGCCAAATTTCGAGCCAAGGATAGAGAATAAAGTATTCACTTAAATTGTGTTCAGTTAATTATCACTGGCCTCCTTTATTTTACACCCAACCAGTTTGTTGTTAGGAGCTCAATTACTGCAACACTACTGATGTCTCTGCCATCTTTTGGACAAGCTGCTATCAAACAAGGACACATGGAAGGTTGTTTAGTTATCAGACTGTGCTTTATTTGGACTTCTTTTTTTGTGTGTGTATATGTGTATTCTCACCCTCACACAGCTCCCTAGGTTGAGGTGTCTCAACTCTGTGCAGAAAGTCAGGATGCTCAGAATAGCTGTTTGCTGCAGAGAAAAGAGAAAGACAAAGAGAGAGACATGCAGACTTGTCATTTTATGACCCATATAATATCTTATATTATATAATCGTAACCATTTCTGTTTAGTACACTGGTAAAATCTAACGAACCTTGCACTCGTGGCATCACAATATAAAATTAAACAATGGGGGACAGCACACAGAAAATGCAGAAATCACTTAAAGATCCCTTTCAGACATATATTAAAGGACCAGTGTGTAGGAATTAGTGGCAGCTAGTGGTATAGTTGCAGATCGCAACTCCCTTGCTTCACCCTCTCCTTTAAAGCATCAAGGAGAAACTATGGTGGTCACAAAATGTGCAAAAAACGCAAATGCTCCAATCTAGAGCCAGTGTTTGGTTTGTCTCTTCTGGGCTACTGTAGAAACATTCGAATATGGCAACATGACTCCATGTAAGGCTACATGCGGTGTCTGTAGATATAAAAGGCTCAATTCTTCTATTTAGGTGATTATACACCAATAAAAACTATGTTATTATATTATTTGCCGTATTATATTCCATTTCCACCATTTTTTTTACTGCTGGACATGTCTCCTACTTCACTATAAAGTCCATTCTCAGTGGATGTGCACTGGTGGCTTAAAGTTTCTTCATCACACTTATATATAAGTTTCATACTGGACCAAGATTGACTTCCTAACTATTTGTGACGTCACAGATCATGCTCGTAGGCCTTGTCCCTTCAAATCCGATTTTCAGTGAACACAGAAAAACTTTCCACATTCAGCAGATAAATGTGAAAACATCGTTGTCAAACTCTGCACAGACAGCATTCTGCACAGTGAAGATCGAACATCCCACTGTAGGAACAAGAAGGAATACATATTTGTATGGATGGGGACTTTAAATAACTGCTCAATTGGAGTCACATGTTCAACAACATCATAAAATCCTTATCTTATCTGAGTGTGAATCTTAAAAGGTATACATTAAAATAACAGTATACGTAAAATAACAGTAACATGTCCAGTCATATCATCCAAGTTCCTCCTAAGCGATTTCCTGTCTGCTGCCTGGCACACTCAGTTAACACTTATTGTATTTAAGGGAATTTAATATGGCACAACAGATAGTTTTTACGTCTCCTCAGAGTCGAGCACAGTGAGGACAGACACCTCTCCAGTGGCACTGCAGCTTGGATGGAGATATGGGAATTCAACACTGCAACTGCCAACACATGTACCTCAGTGGCAGGAGAAAGTGTGAGACATGAAAGTGAAATCCTTTTGTGCCAGTGTGTGTTTGGTGTGTATGTGTGCTCGAGTTTGTCGCTGGCATCTTTATAAACGCCTCTCTCCGGTGAGCTAGCCATTTAATTAGAGCAGTGACAGGGTAATGACAGCTGAGATGTCAGGGCCTCAAACAGACACACAGCTCACTCTGTCTACCCGGGTATAAACAACCTGCAGCATGCTGCCTGGCTCCACCGCAGAAACTCTACACTGCCTCCTGCCCACAGCGCCGCTCTGAAACATGACAAACACTGGAGAAACACTGAGGAGCAACACTAAAACACAAGACAGCGGTTTTACACGTCAGACGGGCCTGAACCTGAACATATGCAGTACGTGTCTTTTAGGCCCGCTAGGCTCAGAGTTGACTCAGTTCATTTTAAACACAACAACACAGAATGAGCTACACCCAACACAAAACATGCTTGTGGAGATCATTAGTACTACATTATGGCAGGGCTTCTGAAAGTTTTATTAAATTGAAGTTAAACCTTTACTATACATTTATTTTCCTATTAATGAAGCTATTTGAAATTTAAAGAACTGCAGTCAGAATTTATCCTCTTCAGGACTTCAGAATGACACAATCTGAAAAGTGAACATCACTCTTTCTGCAAGGGGACAAGGGGTTATGGGTAGACATGACTTGTCTATAAAAGGGAAACCACTAAGCTAAATCATTAATGGTTCAGTGAGACTAAGCTTACTGTATTTTACTGTAGACATACTGTAGTTTACACCTGAAATGTTGCAAGCTACGTAGCAGAAACATATAAATACTGTTTTGTTCCAAACAGTCACAGGTAAAGATGCAATCATCTCTTCTACCAACACACATTTGTTCCGCAGAACGTCTACAAGCCAAAGAGAAAATAATTACCACTACAATACAATTAATACTTAGAACTGCCCTGAATTGTGAAGGCAAAAATGAAGCAGCAGGGAACAAGGACTGACAATAAAATGGCTTTCGTTTTCGCTGCAAAGCTAAGATGCTCATGTTATTGTCACGCAGACACGTTTGACATCCAAGCATGTCTGTCTTTTCGCTATTGGTAAGCCTTTTGTCTGCCTTGTAATTAGCATGCAGATGTGATTTATCCATCTGTATGCTAATTAGCCTAGCATCTGATCTATAGTACTTAATGATTTTGGTTTCTTCTGCTCTTTACCAGCTTACATCATAGCTGTGATAGAGATACAGCACATGGGAAATGTGCAAGTAACAGCAGCAAGAAAGTAAGGCAACAAATAAAGTACTGCTATTGTGCTAACACTAAAACAGAGAAAGAAAGAAGAAGAAATGTAGCTTTGCATGTCTAAAAGGTAACTAAGCAACCTGTATATTCCAATATTACAAGCAGCAAGGTCAGCCAAACATATCATTAACCAAGCAACAGTCTACCTGCT